GTGTTAAATTAGTCCTAAGGGGCAACTTAGCTTTAGAACAAGCCTTTTTGTAGGCTTCTACTGCTATAGCTGCAGCTATGTTAAGAGTAGTAAGAAGGATTAGAGCTTAAATATAAGTTAAAGCCCTTATAAAAATAAGATTAAAATAGTAAAAATTTTTAATAAGTACTAGCAGCGCTACTTGCGTAGACTTAAAAAAAAAATAAAGCAGTTTTAAAAAATATAACTATGCTTACTACACTTAAAGTATTAACTTTTTTTTTATAATTTTTACACTTTTTAGAACTAACTAAAGCATAATTTAAATTAATTTTTATTATATTAGGGTTCTTATTTATAACTGCGCTAGTTTAGGGGCGTATTAGGGCTTATATAGGAAGGAACCTTATGTTATTATTATAGGTAGTAATTAGGTTTGCATACATGTTAAGGTTGTTTAGAAGGGGTTCTTCTACTATAGCATGTTACAGTTTAGTTAAGAGGGAGTTATATAGAGCTATAATTAGACCTATTTTATTTAGGCTTATATTAAATGTAAGTTAGTAAAACTTAGTAAAGTGTAAAGTAAAGCTTTTTTTTCTTTATTATAAAGTGTTTAGGCAACTTAGGGCTATTAACTTTTTATTTAAGTCTCTATAAGTTACTTATAAAAACACTATAAATTAGTCTAAGTTTATAATATCCTTATCTATTAGTAAGTTAATTAAGGCTATTATGTTATAGTTAAGTTAAAAGTAGGCATATAGTAACTAAAAGTGTTTAGAGGGGAATTAGTCTATATTTTCTTTAAGTTTGTATTAGAGCTTATGTAAGAAAGAAAGTAAGTCTTTCTGTTTTTTATTAAACAGCAGGGGATTAGAGAGTTACTTAGATTTTATTACTAAGTTAAAAAAGTTACAGGTTATAGGTAGTGTTAAGTAGGAGAGAGTAAAGCTATCTCTAGACTTTTAGGTAAGCTTTAAGGCTAGTAAGTTCTTAGTTCCTACTACTATAATAAGAGTTAAGGCAGAAATAAACTACTTAATAACATAAAGCTATTCTTTAAAGTTCTTTTAAAAAGCTTTAAAGCTTATAACATAGCAGCTTTTTTATAAAGTAAGCGCTTTTTAAAAGGCTTCTTAGCTTACTTTAATAGCTTAAAGTTATGTAAGTACTAAGCTTATTAAATTAGATTTAGAGGCTATTCTTAGCTAGAGTTTTAACACAACATAATGTTATAATTATGCATAAGTAAGGTTATAAAGCTTTACAGAGGTCTAGTTTAATTACTATGTAAGGTATTATAGTAAATATAAGATGTTATGTAAAAAATAAAAAGGTTTAAAAAGAAATTAGTAATTAAATACTTAGCTTAGAAGTCTAAGCGCTTTAAGTATAAATTAAGCCTGTTCTAGGTTTAGTTAGTGTTAAGGCAGTTTATGCTTAAGTTTATGTCTATGTTGTGTTGTGTTTGTGTTAGACGTGCACTAATAATACTCTAGTACGCGTCTAATACAGTTATGTCTGGGATCCGGGGAGGATACTATAACAGTAAGGTAGGCTACTATAGCTTTAAAGAAGTTTGCCTAGGTATGTTTAAAACTATAATTTAGTACCTGCAGGCTAGGAGGAAGCTTCTTCTATAAGTAGAAAGACTAATCTAACTAGAATACCTTTCCTTTAATAGCTGCACTAATAAAGCGCGCTTTAAATGCAGGAAAAGCCTTTTTTTCCTTTATTCTAAGAGTCTAGAACGCTTGCTGTGCCTTAGTCTCTTTCTAACTAGTAATAAAATAAGCTTATAAGAGCTTTATTATATCCTCTGCACTCTTAAACTAAAACTAGTCTAATTTAGCTAGGTATCCTAGCTCTAGATAATCCTTCGCGATACTAGCTGTGTGTCCCTATATTAATGCTATGCGTGCACGCTTGCTCTAATAGTAATCTAAATTAATGTTAAGTCTATCTATAATAAAGGCTTGCTATTATTTAAACATAGGTTCTTTGCTGTTTATAAGAATCCTAATCTTAGGCGTGCGTTTAGTAAGGTAGATTTGCTAGGTCTAAGAGGTGCCTAAAAAGTCTCTTGCACTTAGGGTAGCAAGGGTAGTATAGGGCGTTATTAGGGGTAATTTAGTAGTTAGTAGGGGTTAACTAGCAGTTCTTAGCTAGATTAGCTGCTTAAGCTGTGCTTATAATTAAGCAATTTAATTATTAATAAATATACTGCTAGGGGTTAACTCTAAATTAGGTAGGAGTATAGCTTTAGGTGCTGCAGGAGCAGGTTTAGCTGTTAACATAGATTGTTAATTAACTCTAGGGGGCTTGCCTTAGCTAGAGCGTATTTTAATTCTAGAATTAAAGAGTAGTAGTTAGTTAGACATTAGTAGTTGTCTTTAATTCTAATAAGTTATTAGTAGTTTCTAAGTTTCTACTTTAGCGCCTTTATGTAACTTTTCTAAAGGCAATCTTAATTGCAGGGGATAGGAAGTTCTAAACCTAAAGGCTTTAGTTAACTAGAGGTTAATAAGATCTAGTCTATAGACTAAGTAATTTAATGTAACAGTGTAAAGAATTGCAACCTAAACTAAATTAGACGCGTCTTAGGCTTAGACGTAGTTAAACAGATAATTAATGTAATATTATTAATAAGGCTGTTACTAGCAAAAGCAAGTTTTCTAATATAATGTAACAGCGCAGGCAAGACAATAGGTCTAAATGCGGTATAAATCTACTTAGAGGCATATAGAAGTGCGTAGGGACTTAGAGACCTAGGAATACTAATAACACCTATAGGCCTTGTACGTAGGATATTAGAAAACTACTAAGCTAGCTATAGGGGCAAGGTGCAACTAAATACATAAGGGAATAGAGGTAACAGCAGAGGGCAGGGTAGAGTTAGGGCTAGGTTAAGTTAGGGTTGAGCTAGGGTTAGAGCTGATACAGGGACCCTTTGGATGGGTTCTAGGCAACCTAAGATAGAACAAGAATTGTTACATTTATAGTGTTAGTAGGTAATTATAATAGTTATAGTATAAAAAATAAAACCTTTTTTAAGTTATTTTTTATTAAATCTAGTTAGGTAAATTATTTAGGTAAGTAGTGTTAATTAAAGATTTTGTTTATGCACTAGTTCTTTGTTAATATAACCTATGCTATTTACTTCTAAGTTAATAAAAGCCTATATTAGAGCTAATATAGTTTTTTATTATAAATATATAAAAATATTAACTTAGTACTTTTAGTTATTAGTAAGGGACTTAGCCTATAAGTTAGCAGAGATCTAGTGTTAAATTAGTCCTAGAGGGTAACTTAGCCCTAGGACAAGCCTTTTTACAGGCTCCTACTGCTATAGCTGCAGCTATGTTAAGAGTAGTAAAAGAGATTAGAGCTTAAATATAAGTTAAAGCTCTTACAGAAATAAAATTAAAATAGTAAAAATTCTTAATAAGTACTAGCAGCGCTACTTATGTAGACTTAAAAAAAAGAAATAAAGTAGTTTTAAAAGATATAACTATACTTACTACACTTAAAGCATTAACTTTTTTTTATAATTTTTACACTTTCTAGAACTAACTAGAGCATAATTTAAATTAATTTTTATTATATTAAAGTTCTTATTTATAACTGCGCTAGTTTAGGGGTGTATTAGGGCTTATATAGAGAGAAACTTTATGTTATTATTATAGGTAGCAATTAAGTTTACATACATGTTAAAGTTGTTTAAAAGAGGTTCTCTTACTATAGCGCGTTGCAGTTTAGTTAAAAGAGAGTTATATAAAGCTATAATTAGACTAATTTTATTTAAGCTTATATTAAATTTAAGTTAGCAGAACTTAGTAAAGTGTAAAGTAAAGCTTTTTTTTTTTTATTATAAAGTGTTTAGGTAACTTACAGCTGTTAACTTTTTATTTAAGTTTTTATAAGTTACTTATAAAAACACTATAAATTAATCTAAGTTAATAATATTCTTATTTATTAGTAAGTTAATTAAGGCTGTTATATTATAGTTAAGTTAAAAGTAAGCATATAATAACTAAAAGCGTTTAGAGGGGAATTAGTCTACATTTTTTTTAAGTTTATATTAAAGCTTATATAGGAAGAAAGGTAGGTCTTTCTATTTTTTATTAAATAGCAGGGGATTAGAGAGTTAGTTAGATTTTATTACTAAGTTAAAAAGGTTACAGGTTATAGGCAGCGTTAGATAAAAAAAAGTTAAGCTATTTCTAGACTTTTAGGTAAGCTTTAAGGCTAGTAAGTTCTTAGTTTTTACTACTATAATAAAAGTTAAGGTAGAAACAGACTGCTTAATAATATAAAGCTGTTCTTTAAAGTTTTTTTAAAAAGCTTTTAAGTTTACAACATAGTAGCTTTCTTATAAAGTAAGTGCTTTTTAAAAGGCTTTTTAGCTTACTTTAATAGCTTAGAGTTATGCAAGTACTAAGCTTATTAAATTAGATTTAGAGGCTATTCTTAGCTAAGGTTTTAACATAACATAATGTTATAATTATGCACAAGTAAGGTTATAGAGCTTTACAGAGGTCTAGTTTAATTACTATGTAAAGTATTATAGTAAGTACAAGACATTATGTAAGAAATAGGAAGGTTTAAAAGAAAATTAGTAATTAAATACTTAGCTTAAAAGTCTAAGCACTTTAGGTATAAATTAAGCCTATTCTAAGTTTAGTTAGTGTTAAGGCAGTTTATGCTTAAGTTTATGTCTGTGTTGTGTTGTGTTTATGTTAGACGTGCACTAATAATACTCTAGTACGCGTCTAATACAGTTATGTCTGGGATCCGGGGAGGATACCGTGACAACTGCCACTACTAACACAAGACGTTCCTTGACTTTCTAGCTATTACGTTAGAAAACTGTACCAAACAGCTGTAACTAGCAGTGATGTATAGTAAATTGCAGTAAATTGCAGTAAATAGCAGCAAACTGCAGTAAATAGCAGCAAACTGCAGCAAATTGCAGCTTAGTAAAGAAGGCGCAAACTCGGCGATGTTTTACGGTTCAGTTAGCGTCCTATCGTGCTAAGCGAAATTATGAACGAAGCAGCCTGCGGGTCGTCATACGCGTTACATTTTAGAAAAGGAGTTACATCACAAACACAAATATTTGTCTATAAATGTTGCTTGTCTGCACAGAAATTCTCGCGTTGCATCTTTACTATCCTACCTGCGTGGATTGTGTCCTGTTTGCGATAGAGTCTAAGCATGGAGCTTAGCTGGAACGCGACCGAAACGCGAAGCGCGTTCGCGAGACCGAAAATGCGCCACGCCAAAAGCACTCTCACCGCAGAGAATGCAGAGGGCTGCTTCCGCTATCTTGGCAGGTACCGAGTGCTTGTCTGTCGAGAACACACTACTTGTATCTAGAATCTTGACGCACATTTTCGCGACGCTTATGCTATCCCTAAACAAGAGAGGTTAGCAATTGCTACTAAGCTTTGCAGCATCTACCCTTCTTAGATTAAGCATCTGGATGAAGTGCAGCTACCGCTACCAATAGGGCGGCTGATTGTGTAACGATTCTCGTTCCATCTCGGGTCGCCCGGAACCCATCCGAAGGGTCCCCGTATCGGCTCGACCCTGACTCGACCTGGCCCCGACTCTGCCCTGCCCCCTGCTGTTACCCCTATTCCCTCATGTATTTAGTCGCACCTCGCCCTGTAGCTAGCTCGGTAGTTTTCTGATATCCTTTCGTACAAGGCCAATAGGTGTCAATGGCATTCCCAGGTTCAGAGTCCCCACGCACTCCCATATGCCTCTGAGTGGATTCCCTCCGCATTCGGACCCATTGTCTTGCCTGCGCCGTTACAGTATTAGTGTAAAAAGAGTAGTTTAGTGTAGTCTCAGCAAAAGTAAGCAACTTAAGTGTGTAAGCAACTTGCCTATAGTGTACGTTAGTAAGTTTTTAGTAATTTAGTTATATAGTAAGTTGAAACATAATTTTTTTAAGCTAAGTAGTAAGCTACTATAGCTTATTATACGCGTTTAAATTAGTATAAGTAGTAGGACTAGAGCGTAAGAACACTGTATGCTAGGCTCTTAGAGTACTAAGAGGTTGGATAGGTGGAACATATCTATAACATAACTGTGATACTTTTATACTACTTTTTTATTTTTAATCTAGCTGTGCTTTTCCCTCTAGTTTATAAAGCTTTACTTCAGCGTTTCTATTATTAGAGCTATAGAAGTGTGTTGTGCATGACATTAGTTTATACAACCTTGTGTTAGGGTAAATGTAAGTCCTTGTCACGGTATCCTCCCCGGATCCCAGACATAACTGTATTAGACGTGTACTAGAGTATTATTAGTGCACGTCTAACATAAACACAACATAACACAGACATAAACTTAAGCATAAACTACCTTAACACTAACTAAACCTAAAACAGGCTTAATTTATACTTAAAGTGCTTAGACTTCTAAGCTAAGTATTTAATTACTAGTTTTCTTCTAAACCTTTTTATTTCTTATATAATGTCTTATACCTACTATAATACCTTACATAGTAATTAAACTAGACTTTTATAAAGCTCTATAACCTTACTTATGCATAATTATAACATTATGTTGTGTTAAAACCTTAGCTAAGAATAGCTTTTAAATTTAATCTAATAAGCTTAGTACTTATATAACTCTAAGCTATTAAAGTAAGCTAAAAAGCTTTTTAAAAAGCGCTTACTTTATAAAAAAGCTGCTATGTTATAAGCTTTAAAGCTTTTTAAAAGAACTTTAAAAAACAGCTTTATATTATTAAGTAGTCTATTTTTACTTTAACTTTTATTATAGAAGTAAAAACTAAGAACTTACTAGCCTTAAAGCTTACTTAAAAGTCTAGAGATAGCTTAACTTTTTTTTACTTAATGCTACTTATAACTTATAACCTTTTTAACTTAGTAATAAAATCTAACTAACTTCTTAATCCCCTACTGTTTAATAGAAAATAGAAAGACCTACTTTTCTTCTTACATAAGCTTTAATACAAACTTAAAGAAAACATAAACTAATTTCTCTCTAAATGCTTTTAGTTACTATACACTTACTTTTAACTTAACTATAATATAACAGCCTTAATTAACTTACTAATAAATAAAAATATTATTAACCTAGATTAATTTATAGCATTTTTATAAGTAACTTATAAAAACTTAAATAAAAAGTTAATAGCCCTAAGTTACCTAAACACCTTATAATAAAAAAAAAAAGCTTTACTTTACACTTTACTAAGTTCTACTAACTTATATTTAATATAAGCCTAAATAAAATAAGTTTAATTATAGCTTTATATAACTCCCTCTTAACTAAACTATAACATGCTATAGTAGAAGAACCCCTTCTAAACAACTTTAACATGTATGTAAACCTAATTACTACCTATAATAATAACATAAGGTTCCTTTTTATATAAGCTCTAATACACCCCTAAACTAGCGCAGTTATAAATAAGAACTTTAATGTAATAAAAATTAATTTAAATTATACTTTAGTTAGTTTTAAAAAGTGTAAAAATTATAAAAAAAAAAGTTAATGCTTTAAGTGTAGTAAGCATAGTTATATTTTTTAAAACTACTTTATTTCTTTTTTTTAAATCTATGTAAGTAGCGCTGCTAGCACTTATTAAAAATTTTTACTATTTTAATTTTATTTTTATAAAAGCTTTAACTTATATTTAAGCTCTAATCTTTTTTACTACTTTTAACATAGCTCTAGCTATAGCAGTAAAAGCCTGTAAAAAGGCTTGTCCTAGGGCTAAGTTACTTTTTAGGACTAATTTAACACTAAATCTCTGCTAACTTATAGGCTAAGTCCCCTACTAAAACTAAAAGTACTAAGTTAATATTTTTATATATTTATAATAAAAAACTATATTAGCTTTAATATAAGCTTTTATTAACTTAGAAGTAAACAGTATAGGTTACATTAATAAAAAACTAGCGTGTAAACTAAATCTTTAATTAACACTACTTACCTAAATAATTTACTTAACTAAATTTAATAGAAAATAACTTAAAAAAGGTTTTATCTTTTATACTATAACTATTATAATTACTTACTAACACTATAAGGAGTAGATTAAGCTTTATATAATAAACATAGAACATTATAACCTAATTCTAGGATAACTATAGCTGTATTAGCATAAAGTTACTTTTAATTACTAAAAGTAAGTTCTAAACTTTAACTCTTTCTAATACTACAACATATACTTATACTTACACCTAAATAACACTTAAGTAGCACTTAATATAGAAGGTTTTTAGACTTACTTTTTAATAACTTAGAAAAAAACTACTTAAGTAAGGCTAATAAGCTAGGCTTTTTACTAAAATAGGCTATGTAAAATAATTTAATAACTACTTAAACTTAAAAAAAAAAAGCTTTTAAAAAATTTTTACTTACCTAATTTAAACACAAACTAGGACTTAAATAGTAGATAGACATCTGCTATATAGAACCTACTCTATTTATAACCCTAGCTTAATAACTAGATTATAAAATCTATATAGTTATAATTTCTAATATAGACTAAGCTTTAGCTTTCTAAAAATACACTAACTTAAGAATAATAGTTCTTTAAAACTACTATAACTTATTACATGTTTTTTTTTAAAATAAGTTTAATAAGCTTTTAATATAATATCTAAATAATTACTAGATAACTTTTAAGCCTAGTAAACAACCTAGTTATAAGCTACTATATAAGATGTTACTAAATAAATTAAAAGTGCTCTAAAAATACCTTAATAAAAACTTAAAAAAAAGGTTTATTTAAGCTAGCTTCTTACTAGTAGTGTTACTTATACTATTTATAAAAAAACCTAGAAGTAGGCTTTAATTTTATGTTAACTACTAAGGACTAAACACTATTACTATTAAAAACTAATACTTAATTTTTTTTTTATAAGAAACCTGTAACAGCGTAGGCAAGATAATAGGTCTAAATGCAGTATAAATCTACTTAGAGGCATATAGGAGTGCGTGGGGACTTAGAGACCTGGGAATACTAATGACACCTATAGGCCTTGTACGTAGGATATTAGAAAACTACTAAGCTAGCTACAGGGGCGAGGTGCGACTAAATACATAAGGGAATAGAGGTAACAGCAGGGGTTAGGGCTAGGTTAAGGTTAGGGCTAATACAAGGGCCTTCTAGAGGTTCTAGGCAACTTAAGATGGAATAATTTATAAGGATTATTACAAAACCCTAAGCTAACTAAGTAAAGTAAAGTATTTTATAAAGTTAGATATTATTACTACCTTTAATAAGCTAAAAATAGTAAAAAGTAATAAGTAGCTAATAGTGTTTTAGACCTAATACAGACTATTTAAGTACCTAGTAATGCCCTTTAGCTTAGCTAACATACTTAGTACTTTTTAACATTTAATAAACAACTTGCTCTAACCCTACTTAGATGTGTTCTGCACTATGTATATTAACAACATTCTAATTTACAGTAATAGCCTTTTAGAGCATAAATAGCATATACGCCTAGTGCTAAAGGCTATAGAAGAAGCAGGTCTATAACTTAATATAGACAAATGTAAGTTCTACTAATTAAAGGTTACATATTTAAAATATGTAATTTTTATAAATAGCATTTAAATAGACCCTATTAAAGTTTAGACTATGCTAGATTAGTAATACCTAAAAGATGTAAAAGATGTTTAAGCCTTTATAAAATTTACTAACTTTTACTAATAATTTATTAACAACTTCTTACAGTAAGTAAGCCTTATAATTACACTTACTAAAAAAAAAATTTAATTTAACTTTAACTTAAATTACTAATAGTCTTTTAACTAGCTAAAGAAAGCCTTTACTAAAGCTTTAATACTCTACTACTTTAACTTTAAACTACTAATACTTATAAAAGCTAATGCCTTAGACTACATAGTAGCAGAAGTTCTCTTCTAGACTAAGCTAGATAGAACTATTAGGCTTATTACATATTTCTTAAAAAAAATAAGTCTTGCAAAAAAGAATTATAAAATTTATAATAAGAAATTACTTACTATAGTACACTACTTTAAATAATAGCAACCTAAGCTAGAAAGTATAGCGCATCTAATATAGGTCCTATCTAACTATAAGAACTTATAGTACTTTATAACTATAAAATAACTTAGCTACTAATAAGCTTATTAGTTTAAATACTTATTTTATTTTAATTTTAAAATTATTTATTATCTTAGTTAAAATAAAGGGAAACTAGATGCCCTTATAAAGCAATTTTAAGACATTCCTGCTTAAAAAAAAGTGTAAAAAGCTTAATACTAAACTCTACTTTAACTTAAGCTATTTTTAGACCTTAACTTAAATAAAATAAATTAGATAATTAATTAAATTATTATTAATAAGTATTTAAATAATAAATTTATTTAAGAAACTTTAGACCTACTTTAAAATAGCACTAGTTAGTTAAAAAAAGTAACACTAGCTAACTATAAAAACTAAAATAGTATGCTATATTACTATAACTAACTTATAATTTTTAATTTTAATAAACTAAGAATTAAACTACTCTAAATTATATATAACTTACCTGTTAAAGAACACTTAGGCAGAGAAAAGACTCTTAACCTACTATAGAGAGAGTACTACTAGCCCTACATGTTCTATACTGTACGCTAATATGTATTATGTTGCTATACTTACTATAAAGTAAAGGCCTTTTAAAAAAGGTATAATAGCCTACTTAAACTACTTCTAATCTTTAAATAAGCTTAGAAAGATATATTAATTAATTTTATTATAAACCTACTTTTATTTAAAGAGTATATAAATATTATAGTAGTTATTAATTACTTAACTAAGTATTAATACTTAATACTATGTTCTTTTATAACTGCCTCTAATATAGCCTAGTTATTCTACTAATACATATAGGTTTACTATAGCCTGCCTAACATAATTATATTAGACAGAGGTACATAGTTTATCTTAGCCTTCTAAGACAAACTTTATAAATAGGTCTAAATTATTTTTTATTTATCTACAGCTTTTTACCTAGAGACTAATAGCTAGACTAAGAATATAAACACTATAATAAAATAAGTTTTATAAGTGTACATAAACTACTAGTAAGATAACTAAGTAAAATAGTTAGCTATAGCATAGTTTAAAGCTAATAATATAATATTTAAATTAACATAAGTATTCTTATTCTTAGTAAACTATAAATACTACTTTTAAATAAAATTTAAACTACTTTTAAATACCCTCTAACTAACTTATTAATTTATATAAGTAATAGACATAAATAGACTTATTAATAAAATTTAAAATATATCTAAATATGTTTATAAAAAGCTTACATAGGCTTAAGCTTTTTAATAAAAGTATGTAAACTAATTCTAAACTCTTACCCCTGTGTATGCAGCTAGCAAGAAGGTCTAGCTAGACGCTAGAAATATTTAAATAAACTAATAATTAAAGAAACTTAATTAGAAAAACTTTAGCCCTTTTATAGTAGCTTATATAGTCTTATTACACACTTACTAATTAATCCTACCTAACAGCATAAAGATACACCCTGTGTTCTACATATTATTGCTGCGCTAAGTAGCTTCTAAATCTAACTATCTACCTAGACAGCTAAACCTGCTACTTAAACTTATTATTATAAATAATAAACTAGAATATGTTATAGAAGACATTAAATAAATTTAGTTTAATAAAAAAAAATGTATTTATAAATACTTTATAAAATAAACTAGATACAACAAACTGTTATAAGAACCTGCAGAAGCTTTATAAAAGAACTCTGTAGTAACCTAATTCTACGCCTAATACCTATCTAAACTAAACCTGTACCCTAATAAAAACAACTTAATGCTAGAACTACTAATGTAAAGAATTCCCTTCCTAATAAAAGGGGGGGTACTGTCACAGTATCCTCTCTAGATCCTAGACATAACTGTATTAGACGTGTACTAGAGTATTATTAGTGCACGTCTAATATAAACACAATATAACATAGACATAAACTTAAGCATAAACTGCTTTAACACTAACTAAACTTAAAATAAGCTTAATTTATACCTAAAGCGCTTAGACTTCTAAGCTAAGTATTTAATTACTAATTTTCTTTTAAACTTTCCTGTTCCTCACACAACGTCTTGTACCTACTATAATACCTCACGTAGTAATTAAACTAGACCTCTGTGAAGCTCTATAACCTTACTCGTGCACAATCGTGACAGTCCTTTACCTTTTACTCTTTCCCTATTTCGGACTAGCACTCTTTTAGCTACTATATATTTACATCTAAGCTCTCTTAAGCTGTAGAGACTGTACAAATTACCTTAATATCCCTAGGTTGTCTCTCGACACCTAATTGTCTACTTGCCTCACTATATATGCCACACATCAACTCCATCAGCTCCATCTAGGCTCCCTGCAATACCAGGGGCTCAGTCTGAGCCCCAGGCCGAGAGAGCGGTTGGGTATCCATGTAAGCTGATCAGACAGCCAAATTGAGAAAATAGCCTCTGCATCTACGTACAGAAAAGTGGCATGTGATTGGTGTATTGATGAATAGCGGGAGGTCAGGTTGACCCTATCCATCCGTGGCTCGGATGGATCCACATTGAAAATATACCCTGAAACCAAAGCACACCTACACTCTATTTGTGCATCTTAGGGCTGGAACAAAGTTTTGATTCTGGGGCTAAACGCCAAGGGCTTTTAGCACGTTGCTACATCCTAACCTCATCCACTCATCTACAAGACCTTTTTCTGGCAGCCAAATGGATCCCAACATCCCTGCAGCGTTGGCGCTCGCCCGACCCATCGCCGCAGATCTCCTAGGAACCACGATGATCCAATCCCTCCAGAGGACAACGTTGTGAGGACAGACATCGTCAGTTTGCGACAGCCCCAATGCCTGTTTTGCCTGGCCAAGAAACGTCTCGTAAATGGCCGACAAGTCTGATGCCGAAGTCGCATCAAACCCTTCGCTGAATCGGTGAGCAAAGTGTCGGAATGGAATCTTCGACTCCGTTTTCTCGCCGTGTATGAATGATTCGAATGCTCTGGGTGGGCCTTGCAAACCCTGCATATGCTTATGTACACGACTGCATCCCGCAGCTTCGGTGCAGTTGTAGATGACATACATGTCATCCAGAGATGTTAACACCTTCAACGCAGCTTCGAAGTCGTCCTGGTCCATAGGCTCATGTTGCCTTCGGTAAGAATCCAGAGTCAGCAGCACAAACTGGGGTTTGTCCACGCAGAAGAGATTGAAGACTAAATAGTGAGAGTCGTTCAACTTGGCGAGCTTCAAGCGTTCGTCAACGCAATACATGTCGCTTCCTGGCCCCCATTTCCGGCTCATGTTAAAGGCAGAAGTGAGGTCTGCACCAACCTTGTGTGGCTTATTGGCAATGGAGGGGCAGACGCGGAATTCCAGCTGCAGCGATAACATCAGTCACCTGCATAACGCACCCGACATCAATGTGTGGGGGCCTACTGGATATCCTTCGCAATCGTGTTCAATGACCTCGTGTGGTCCGTAAATGATGACTCCGTCTGACACCAGCTGGTCGAAAGTCGCAAGAATCTCCTTCTTAGATAGCATTTTCACGGTGTCGTTCATGTGGCAGCGCTGGTGGCTGCGAAGTGCTGTCTTATGATCTAGGTGCTCGGACACAGTTAGCAGGAACTGCTGCGCTAACCGTTTCAACAATTTTGAGCCTCCATTTTGGCCCCCTACCTGTACGCACCGCATACATTCAAAAGCCGCACGAGGCACGATACGTTGAGATCAAGCTGACAGTTCCTCACACTCCCCTCTGCTCTTTCCACGCTGAACTTGGGTTTTTCGCGTTCGGGATGACGGACTCAAAAGGCGCCAAAGTTTCCACCGTCGCGCCCCAGGACGCGATCGAAATCGAACAGGTTGAAAATGACCGTAACGCACCGGAATATTCCAAGCTGGAAGCCACAATTTTTACTACGGATATCGCGCCTCGTCCAATTTCAAGAGACGGACAACATGTCCAACGCCATGCCGAACTTTCCGACCTTACCGTCAACGAGCTCGACCATGGATACGAAGTTAACCTCGAAGAGTATCCGTTCGTCAGGATTGATTCCGCACAGGAGTTATTCGCAGGAGTGCTGTACCAAGAACACCTTAGGGTGGATCAGAATTTCAGCGAAAAGACATGGATCGAATCCTTTTCCGTGGATGAATCTGGCGCTAAATGGTTGCAATTGGATGAGCATCATTTGAGGGCATTGGTGAAAGGTGTGAGCGAACGATGCAACAATGTCGCTGCGCTGTCCACCTCTAATGGCATGCGAAAGCTGTCCGGCTCCCGAAGGGCTCTACTATTCTTCCTCCCACTCACGCCAACGACTTCAGACGCCTCTTTCAAGAACACGGTCCCTATGACTCGTTCAAGCACATCCGACTTATTCTCTTCACTCTCCCTGAATCCCGCATTCTTATTGAACATGCTGGGCCGTCCCGATTACTGGGCGCCACAATCGAGATGGGACCACGATGGCGATCATTTCCTAGGCTGCGATTTCTCTTGCCAATATCCGCGATGGAACCTCCAAGCGCAAGGCGCACCTCTCTCTGTATATTGCAAGTACGACGCCCAACGGGACCTGACCGTCTATCTCATATCGCACAAACCTAACGACACCGTGATCCGTTCACTCCGCGCGGTCCTTTCCAACACCACTCGCCACCAAGCACGGTCTCACATAGCAAACGTCCTCCTCGATAGCCCCTTTGACATACACGTCGTAATTTCGCAGCTTAATTTTGAAGCCTCCAAATGGCACGTGGAACGCTTCCGTCGCTTCCAATGGTCCGTGGTGAATAAAGTGGATGATCACCTCGCTGGCCTCGAATCCAATGACCGGTCCAAACTCAAACAACTAACGAAGGAACTGCAGATTGTGTCACAAAACGCCGACTCGCACATCGCAAACGCGGAGGTCTTTCTGTTCACTGTACGCGGAATCCGGGATATCGCAACGCGACTACACGTCTCCGAACAAGGCCAAATTCGCCAGCGCACGCTCGACATCCTCGATTTCGTCATTAGAAGCATGGAGAAGCAGCAGATGTGGTTCTTGAACTACAAGGGGCGAAAAGATAGCACGATGCGGCTAGTGTTCAACCTCGTCACGCAGCAGGATGCATTGAATAACATAGAGTTGGCAGCCGACATGAAGAAGGATAGCACAAGCATGGCTGCAATCGCATCGTTAACAATGGTTTTCTTACCAGGCACGTTCACAGCCGTGAGTCTTTCGCCATCCTCATCTTCAACAAGTCCATGAGTTTGGAAGTCAATGCTTGTGCTGACACAATGCCTCTAGTCCGTCCTTAGCGCTGGAATCTTCCAGTCAACGCCTAGTATGTCGTCCTTCAAAGTCACAGGTCTCTGGTGGTTGTGGGTCGCAACGACGTTTCCTATCACGATTATTACAGTGCTCTGCTGGTGGTGGTATAAGGGGAAGAAAGAGAAGAGAGTGCTACCTATTGCAAAAAATAATGATCATATTAGTGTAGAAAGTTAGATCATCTGCCGCCGAGGGACGTACTACAGGGAATGCGGAAGCATTTCCAGCCTAACCAGTGTCGGTGTTCCCCCAAAATCTCGCCATTTCGTAAACACCGACTTAGCTTCCGGGAGAGTGTGGCATTATCTCTATTGGCCACATGGGTCTCCCTGCCATGACTCCAAAATGCAACTCCATGGAATAGGGGGTCAGGGGGCAACAGAAATACAATTTCTCTACTTTTTGTAGTCAGAAGCTCAGGTGGTTTTGGTACTGTTGATAATGGCCAAGCCTCACCCTACAGTTAAATTGCCTAGGACAATCCTGCTACCTAGTTAAAACAAGATAAGTATGGACAGCCTTTACCCCTCCTAACTTCCTCTATTTCCTCCAACTATAGTTACTATAACTACTGTAGAAGCAATTCTTGTAACAGCACAGGCAAGACAATAGGTCCGAATGCGGTAGGAATCCACTCAGAGGCATATAGGAGTGCGTGGAGACTCAATAACCTGAGAATTCCATTAACACCTATAGGCCTTGTATAAAAGAATATTAGAAAACTACTAAACTAGCTAAGAAGAGGTGCAACTAAATACTTAGGGGAATAGAGGTAACTGCAGGGGATAGGGTCAAGTTAGGGTCAGGGCTGATACAGGGACCCTTCAGATAGGTTCTAAGCGACCCGAGATAGAACAATTCATGAGAATCGTTACAATTCTAATGTTAGATAAGGTACTAACTTAACATAAGTTTAATTACATGTAATGTATTTCACAAGCAAGCAGTCTATACAAGTAGACTGTCTACTCTAATAAAATTTTAGCAGCTTATACTTTTATTAATAATGCATTTACTAATTAACTAGTATCTAAATAATATTCTAGGCTGTACTGTACTATATAGTGCTAGAGCAGGTTGTTATAGGCTATAATAGAGTTAGTTAGGGTGTAGTCTTAGCAAAAGTAAGCGACTTAGGTGTGTGAGCAACTCGCCTGTGAAGTACGTTAAAGCTTTTATAAACATATTTTATTGCTAGCTAAAAAAAGAATAAGGTGTAATAAGCGTTTTAGATTATTAAAATAAATAAAGAAGAAGTATTTTCTATATTTAAAGCGCGCTTTATTTGTGTAGCTATTAAGCAGTTAGTATTGTAACAAGGTTAGCACAGTCAACCACGTGGCCTTCTCTTGCTTATAGAGGTTTAGGCTAGGCTAGAGACAACCGCTAGTGCTAGTGCTTACCCTAGCATTACCTATATATATATTATACTATACGAGAATACCTAGCTTAAGTATCCTCGTGCGTACCTTTTAGTACAGTAGGGAAAGTCGTATAGTATCGGCTTAGCAGGCGGGGCGCCTACCTTATTACAAGTATTCTAGTTAAATAGTTTTTTTACTTATAGAGGAAAACTTTTTCTAGCCTATAAGTACTAAACTATAGTTTTAAACATACCTAAGTAAACTTTTTTAACGCTATAATAGCCTACTTTACAGTATATAATCTAGAGAGAAGGATTTATAAAAGGAACTTAGTTATTCTATCTAAATTATCTCTAATTATTAAATTACCTTTAACTACTAATAAAACTATTAGTTTATAAAATAGTAAGTAGTGTAATAATTTTTATAAATTATTCTATTTTAGGTTGCTTAGAACTTTTAAAAGGTCTCTGTATTAGCACTAACCTTAACCTAGCTCTAACTCTACTCTACTCTCTACTATACCTCTATTCTCTTAAGTATTTAGTCGCATCTTCTCTTTTAGCTAGATTAGTAGTTTTCTAATATCCTTTTATACAAGGCCTATAGGTGTTAATGATATTCCTAGGTTACTAAGTCCCCACGCACTTCTATATGCCTCTAAGTAGATTCATACCGCATTTAGATCTATTGCCTTGTTTACGCTGTTACAACCTAATTATGCTTAGCGTGTAAAGAATTAGCTATATTAGCTATAGCTGCTAGCTAAGAGGAAAATCCTTACACATAAAGCTTAAGTATGTGCTTAATAATTACCTACTTTTTATTATTACCTAGCCTTTATAAGTTAGCTATAGAATTAGCTTGTAAAGGTTGTCTAGTGCTGTAGTTATTTATTATCTTTTAAAAAACTTTATACATAGCTGCAGCATGTTTCTTTAAGAGTTTTATATCTTATTTAAAAGCTTAGAGCGTAAGCTGTATCTAATGTTCTTTTAGCGCGTCTAAGTAGTGTTGTTAGAAATGCATTAGTGTAGAAAAAGTAGTTTAGTAGGGTCTTAGTAAAAGTAAGTAACTTAGGTGTGTAAGCAACTTGCCTGTGAAGTACATTATGTAATAAAAGTAATAGCTAAAGTTAGCCTTATAAAAGGTTTCTTTTATTATAGCAGATTCTACTGTGTTAATAGCAAGCTGTGCTATAAAAAGCTATTCTGCCTAATTATTCTAATTATAGAACACATATTTCTTTAAATACTTTTTTACTTTAGTATTTACTTATTTAGTTTGTCTGTCTGTTTACAAGTAATATGCTGTAGACAGTTTATATTCTATGCCTAAGTGTCTTATAGCAGCTTTCTAAAACTTGCTTATAAACAGGTTATCTCTATTAAAGATAATAGTTTATAGGCAGCTATAAACTAAAATTATATTTTACTTAAGCTTATATAAAATACTACGACAGTTTATAAATGATCTGTAAAAGCAAAGCTTGCTTAGAGCAATAGTTAGTACAATAAGGTAGGTTATTTAGGTTAAAGAATAGTTATAGCATAATGCTTAGCAAATTAGTATTAGACAGGTAATAGACACATAATAACAATATTTAACTATAGCATGTAACTAATTACAGCCTGTAACTAAGCATAGCTAATACTAATCTCTAACACACTAATATAGCTAATGCTAATCCTTAACACACTAATATAGCTAATGCTATTTCCTAACACACTAATATAGCTTAAAAAGTAGAATAAACATAACTAACTATAATTTAAATATATTTTATATAACATATACTAGAGTAAACTACA